GGCAAAATTAACTAGATTGGTCAGTCCTGGAGGTGGGAGAGTTGGAATTTTGTTTTTGTATTTTTTCTTGTTTTTTTGTAATTGTCATTACAAATTGTCATTACAACTCGAGTCATACCTCGAGTTGAATGCTAGAATTAGACAAAGTGCTAATACTTTTACCTAAAATGAGAGTTTATTTATATCTTAATGGAATGAGAGAATGAAGTGAATCTATATATGTTTTGGAGGGAGAAATAAACATTAGCAAGTACTAAATCAACTGGACCCTCTGGCATTTGTTGACCTTAATAATTAAAACAAATGAAATGATATTACAGATAGATTGGGTGAAAGCACAGTTAATTTCAAATAATATTGTTAATGTATAATTATTAGCATGCTATCTCATACATTTACATAAAATTAGTTATATTTGATGAATCAAGCAGTTAAAAAAAAGATTTCTGGGCCAAGGGCCTTAGCTATCTCTCTGGGGGCTGCATACCATTACCTTTTTTTTTTTACACATTATTAAAAATAAAAACAACAACAACAACTTCTTAAAAAGAATGGACACATTTGGGGGAGCACAAAAAGCTTTTGGCTTCACAGTATCTCAGTTAGACATCTATCAGAGCAGTCAGTAAAAGCATTTTTAATTAAAAAATTTTATTGAGGGACTGGGGGGGCAGCAAAATATTTTCTGGGTGGGGGAACCACAATGGTACTCAAATATTCGAAAAATTAATAGTAGAATGGTTCTCAACTGAGTTATGAACAAGCCTACTAGATTTCCAACCCACAAACCAAATGCAGCCCATAGAAGTGAATTGTGGCTTGCCAGGGGCTTAGCTTTTGCAATCCCAGATAGGCAGCAAACGGAAAAGGTTTCATAAGCCCCTGGTGGGGCTGGTGTGTACTCTGTTTGGTTTCGAGAGTTGAAAACTGTGCATGCTTGGCTTAAAATCCCAATGTGAAAGCTAAAACTATCCCCATTTATTTTGCCTTCCTCGGCAAAGAGCCAGTTTGTGTCTTACAGATGCACCATATTACATCAAATGTATTATTTTTGTTATTTACATTATAACTTGTAAGAAACAATATAAACAAATGAATATTTTCCCTCCCCAATGGGTACAAATCAATGAAAACATAGCTGTTCCCAAATAAAAGTACTTGTAATTCATATTTGATCACCATTTTAAAGCTACTGTATTCTATTAGTTGTCTGTTTTGTGGTGGCTACTCTAGTTCACTCCTTCAGAACGTAATCACATCCCTGTTTTCTGCTCTCCTCAGCAGCATGGATTGTTTTCACAGCATGAGGCCCGTCTCAAGCTACACTTTTAAATATGAAATGCTCATCGGTTTCCCCAAGAAAGTCTTTCCTGGCATGACACAAAACAAACTGCCATTGTTATAGACCATAGCAACTTGATTTCTCCTAGATTTAACCTGAGGTTTCATAAACCACAATTATACTAACCGTTGCCATGAGGTCAAAAGTATTTTGAATCTACCTCTGAGATGACTGTCAGACTGAATATAATGACAGAAAATGTTCTTCAAATGGGTATATGTAAAAATTAGCTCGCATTTATATTTTCAGTATTTTATCCAAACTAAAGGGTCTGTATGTGTGGATCAACCACCGCCATTGCAATAGGAGAGCATAAGAGAAACCACAGGTTTTCCTTTCACAAACAATGCCAATTTTGTCTCCTAAGTAGCCAGTTGAATGATCACCCAGAAAGGCAGCCCTGCTTTTTCCTCTCCAAATATTACCGACATTTTGGTCGCAAGAGGACTTGCCAAGCTGATGTTAACATAACACAGAAGCTTCACTATAAAGGTCTTTGGAGTCAAAGAGCCACTTATTTTCATCAAACATTAAATGGCATATTATCATCAGAACCTTTTCTCACTACCTAACACAAGAACTGAATACAAGATCACTCAGACTACACTCCTGTAATTATCTGCTCTAAAGTAGTTCCAGGGACTCCTATGGGACTACTCTACAGTAAATGGCCCCTGTTTCTCCCTTCTAATGCTGGAGGAGTTTTCTTTTTAGAAGAGGTAATCCATTTGGGAGTAAGCTGGTTGCAGCATAAATGAAATATTTTAAAAATGCATTGCATTTAAAGTTTTACCAACATTTAACAGACAGACTGGGATGAACTGGTGGAATAAACACTGCACTGCAGGAAAGTAGGGCTCACTTTCTAACTCAACTGAAAACTTCCTTTGCACTCTGAGGCAAATTCATATAATTTGTGCCCCTCATAGTATCCAAACTGAATTCAGCTCAGTGCCTTTGGTCAGAAAGTTGGATAGTTTAGCCACTAGCCTCAATTGCTGCCATATGTAGAAAGCTGGGAGATCTGTTATTACTTATTTATAAATGCATTTATATACACTACCCTCTCAACAACAAAAAATCAAGGTGGTGTACAACAATATGTGTATAATAAAATATAAAAACCATGAAAAATAGAAATAAAATGACAGGCTAGTCAAAAGGTTTAAAACAACTGCATAGGCCTGTCAGAAGGGAAAAAAGGATTCAAGAGACATTTGGAAGTCAAGAAATGCCTGCCATATCTCTGCAGAAGAGGGCTCCATAGCATGGGACTGACGGTACAGGCAACCCCCCGTTTGCAAGGGGCTGCGTTCCAGGTTATTGGAAACGTCAGTGGTAAGGCATAAGCCCGTTCCACCCTGCCCCCTCCAACTGAATGCATGCAAAATGGTTGCTGCCTGCACTAAACACGGACTTCTGGCTGAGGCCTGTTGGGCATCTGAAAGAAGCTACCCATAGAAAAAATATTCGGTATCTACGGTGTATATTGCAATAACAGAATTCACAATGATGTAGGACTATGAATCAGTTTGAAATGTTAAATATTAACAAAAGTGTGTGGGTGCATACATATACGTATATGTATATGCATGTGTGAGAAAGGCAGAGATAAGAAATAATATTCTAATTCGTACAAAGATGGTGCTTCTCCTTTTATTCCATCATTAGAATTTATTCACAAGCCATACTGGTAGTACCACACTATGTAACCAATACCACAAAGTATTCTCCATCCTTGTAGCATCTGAAGAGCAGTTAAACCTCTCTAAAGTGGCCACAAGAATTCTGTCCAGAGCTAAACCCAAAACAAATTTTGGGAACTCTCATATGTAAAAATGTGAAGATTTTTCAAGGAACTGCGTAAGAATTTTGAAAAAAACTCACTTCTGAGTAGTCCCCGGATTTCACTTTAAGCAACATTTGGGATAAATTTCAAGTGGAGCATTCAGATGAAGAACCAAAGAATTCTGAAGGAAGTCAATAAGACTCATGAGATTTCTCAGGATGATTTTGCTTATTTCCTCCATTTCTTTCACGCCCATGATTGTCTCTTACTGTTAATTTTCCCTTCCCTTTTATTCTGGGATTAAACCTAAATTTTTGTGATATTATTTTGAAGAATACAATGGATGCTAGGCTGAGGGCTTTACTGGCTAGTCATAATAATTAAATATTACACACAATATTTACAAGGCAGATTATTTACTGCATACTCACTTTCAAAAACAACCTCCTTTAACAAAGTTTAATAACCAACAGCCATCTTTCTTAGTGGTGGTTCCACTGGAATTTCTCCACAAGTCCTAACAACAGAAATATCTATTGTTCTTTCATCAGATAATACCAGATATACAAGTTGAAAATATTTTTTCCACTGGTCAGATTTAATAAGGTATGTAAAACTGATGAGCTGCTTACTAACTCATCTACCTGTTCATTTCAGCTGACTGGTCAGATGTCAGTTGAAGCAAAAGCTTCAAGACTAGCTACAATGACCAAATTTGGTTAGATTCCATTACAATCCGTAATCTAAAGTGACAACAATGATTCTGGGATATTCAGAAAGTTAGAGAACACGAGATAATGTTCAACCAGGCCCATTTGTTTTAAGACTAAAAATAATGTAGTTTCTCCACTTCAAAAGAGGCCATTTTTGTATTTAGTTAAAAGATTTAAACCTCTCTGTCAATTTGCTACCCCAGCCAAAAAAAAGCAGCCTCAGTGTTTTGTGTTTTACCCCCTCAAACTTGTTTGCATAGTATTCTGATCTCATAATATAGTACAACATAGACAGTCAAAAAACACACAGAAAAAGATTTAAAATATGCTATGCAAAATGAAAACTGATGGCCTTTTAATAAAAGTGTAATTATTCTTTTCGTGTTAAAAATTAAAAATTAAAATAAATATGACAATAACCCTTTTCTAATGCAAGCTATAATTTTTCCTAAAATAGGCAGTAGAAATTATAATGTAGGTTTAGTACTGGTGGTAAAAGGTTAACAAATGAGTATACCAGAACACAAGAGTCAGCGGTCAACTCTGACAACCTGGGATAGAATCCAGAGGCAGTTAAAATAGGCCAATGCTTATTCTATATACACTCCCACAAAGGTTCCACTGGATTCAATGGGATTTTCTTTTGAGTTGTTATGTACAGGATTGCCCTTTGGGCAGAATAATTCTACGCCAAGGTCTCACTGGATTGGAGTGGCAGGGACACCACTACATTCCAAACCCTGCCAGCTCACAACAGCCAGGCTTGAAGGGGAGTTTCCTTGCTCTTTGTTTGTTTGTAGCTCTGGGAATGGCTGAATGACCCAAGGAGCGGACCCTTCTATGGGATTTTGGATCCCAAGCTACCAGGGCTCTGCAACACCCTGTTTTGATGCTACATTGAACTATCAGTGGAAGAACTGGCTGTTGCTTCTTACTGACCACCGACCCACAAGTGGGCTAGGATTATGCTATGTCTCTCTGAAGTCTTTACAACTGAAGTAATGTTTTCTCTAGACGGGAGTTTTAAGATACTTTGAGGCACAAGGACAACACACGTTATCCCCAAAGCATTCACATCTACAACCCCACCTCCAGCTCAAATTACGTCAGAAAAGGAGTAATTATTTATTAAGTTAGAAAGTTACTGAAAGGATACAAGGATTATTGTCATCAATGCTGCAGTTATCCAGGATCAACGGGATGCCATCTAGATCATAAACCTGTAAGAAAATAAAAAAATATTTTATAAAATATTTCTCCTTGGTGGGTAAAAATACACAAACATAACCCATCCCTAAATGGATAGGTTTTGTATACATTTATGCAGCGAGAACCATGGTTAACTATGATGTATGTATTCAGACACAATGCCTAACAATTGGCCACAATCCAATATTTAAAACTAATGATGTGAAGCAGGTTTGGCAAGGTGTTGCATCTATACTCTTTAGGCCAGATTCAGTTAATGAGTTCTGTTAGAGGAATCCCATGCAAGGACTTCCATAGGAGAAGGGGGGGGGGGAAGGGTTGTTCTGTTTGCCAAGCCAAAATCCTTGCGTTGATAGCAAATTTACCACAACATGTGTTAAATTCTTCGCTTCTGAAGGGAACCCCTTCTGAAGGGGTTCTGATGTGGAGGCCTCTCAAGTGTTCTAAGCCAACTCAAGCTGCTTTTGAAATGGCCAAATCTGAACTGGAATAAGTATCATATTTGTTGCAAACCCCTGCCATACACACTCTAGAAAATATGTTAATTCCCACAGTTCTTTTATTGTAGCCTATTTAATTTATTTATCTCGATACAGTGCTTAAGAGATTTTTTTTATATATTAAGCGGTTCAGAAATTAAATAATCACTCAATTTCAGATTAAACAATCTCAATGCATGCACAACTAAAACCAAACTTGCAACTTGTCAGGACTGGTCGTTGTCCTCTTCAGATCACCACACAAACGCTTCTTGTTCTTTTATAACTTTTTATTGCGTATTAACAAACAAACTTTTAAACGATCCTTCTCTTTAACTATTCTTCCTCAGAGTCCCTTATTTCAGATAACTTCTGAGCTCTGCTTCTTGGTGACCAGCCACTCCCAATCTGAGCTAGGACTGAACCCTGGCCTTTCCTGGGAACAGCCAGTCCCTCCCTCTTGTTCCTCTTGCTCTCTTCTGTTAGATTCACTGCTCTCCTTCCCCCCTTGGGGAATGCTTTCTCCCTCTGATAAACTGGAAACTTCTAACTCTTCCCTGACACAACTCTCCAAAACATCACAATACACTATTTAAACTAGTCTCCTACAACAAAAGTATAGCAATATACTTTTAAAACATTTGGATATGCCTAGGCATGCCAACTCTAGGTGCAAAGCTCTCTTTGACACAGTAATTACCAATTCAGACAGTTTTCATTCCAGAAAGTATACATCAGAAGTAAGTCAATTTCTAATGGAGAGCTGGGCAACAATGATAAGCGAACACTACAAGGGTTCGTTTCATTACATATAACAGGTCTAAGGATTCAGCATGCGATCTGCAGTGCTGTCAGTTTTAATATAAAAAACAAAGTCCATTCCCAACCCTCACTACTGTGGAATGGCTTTATTATTATTATTATTATTACTTAAGGTAAAGGTAAAGGGACCCCTGACAGTTAAGTCCAGACGCAAACGACTCTGGGATTGCGGTGCTCATCTCGCTTTACTGGCCAACGTTTGTCCGCTTCCGCAGACGGTTTTTCCGGGTGATGTGGCGAACCAGAGCAACGCACGGAAATGCTGTTTACCTTCCCGTGGAACGGTGCCTACTTATCTACTTGCACTGGCGTGCTTTCAAACTGCTAGGTTGGCAGGAGCTGGGACCGAGCAATGGGAGCTCACCCCGTCATGCAGATTCATACTGCTGACCTTCTGATCAGCAAGCCCAAGCGGCTTGCTGGTTGCTTGGGCTCGAAACAGTGGTGTAAACCACAGCGCCACCCGCGTCCCTTGTTATTACTTAATCATGAACCAAAACAATACCTCCCCACCAGACGCTGGGGCAGGGCAGGGATGTCATTAAATGCCTTCCACAATATACATATCACTCATAGCTACTATTCCCCGCCCCATTCCCATTTCCAATCAGACTACATATTACAGTGGTTTAGAGAATTAGTTCCCAGTCCAGAATCCTCCATTAAATTTCACTTCATCCGTGCCTTCACTGGGTGACCTTCTGCAGGCGCCTCTCTCTCAGCCTTGGACTTCCCTGCTTGACTCAGGCCTTGGTCAGTTGTGCATCGTGCCAAACTAGAGGGAGAGGAAAGGAGGCCTGGGCAACTGTGTACAAACAAAAGTGTCTTTAAGAGACAAAAATTGTAGGATTTCTGCCCTGGGTTTACAAAGACAACTATAAACTGTGGCTTCCCTCTTGAAGCCTGTCACATGGCCAAGCAGGGCCCCACAAAAAGGCGTTGTGCTGTATCTTGTAACTGAGGGCTTGGGGTGGAGGGACTTTGCAAAGACAGAAGTCCCTGCTCTAACTTCAGTTCCAGTTTTTCATGCCAAGTGAACCAGCCTGGATGTCCAATGAGCCACAGCAGCTTCCAGTTAGCCTGTTAGACTTTAGAGATGGGCAACCTGCTGTCGTTAGCTTTATATGTGGGATGTTGTCCCCACACAAAGGCAAGGTGCAAATCATGTCTAACCCAAAGAGAGATGGGGCATTTATTCCCTGCTGTTTAAAGATCTCAGAGCTTAGGGTACAGGCATGTTGGCTTATAATATATGGCACTGTGGCTTGTGGCAAACAAGTCTATTATTGGAAGCTACCACATCCTGCAAAACTGCTGAAATACTTGTGGCTCTTTTTCCCAGGACATACATATGCTGGAATGGCAAAGGCTCTGATGTGACATATACGTCCCATACGAGATGGATGGCGTAAGTAGCAGAGATTCTTTCCCAGCCACAGCAGGAAGCCCCATGCCCACCCATTGAAAGCAAAACTATGATCATTGCCTCTACCATACTTAAAAATTGCATTGCTCTACTGACACCATGAAACATTTAAATATATACATATGAGGAGAAAACTTTTTCCCTCCTGCAAATGTAACGAGAATTTTGACCTTTTCCCTGCGAAGTCTATATATATTTAAAGTGGCATTCCATAAAAGTGGCTGTCTACTGACACAATTGTATTAATGTCTTTTTTTTTAAAGATATTTTTTAAAGTTTTTAAACAATAAAACAGACTTCACATTCACAACCAAAAAGAAAGAACACCATCACAATCAATCAAAAAAGAACCAAAAACGAAAAAGAAAGTACAGTAAAAAAAACCCCGTACAAAATAGAAGAAAAAAGACATGAAAAAATGGGGGGGAAACCATAAAAAACCAATTTCTTAGATATTATTTTCATAACCCTCCTTCCAGACTTCCTCACATCTCCCTTTTCTGTGTTCCCCTTTACAAAATCTTGTTCAGCAATACTTCACCTTCTTTCAAATCTTATTTTGTATTATACATTTCAACCATTATGTCTCCAAATTTTTCCCTTTATTATCAGTTATTTAAGTTAGACATAACCTTATTCTAGCTTCACCTTTGTTCTTATTCTTTTTGCATACTCCTTACAGCTATGTCACTAATGCCATATTATCTTTAAATCTTGCATCATTCTAACATTCATACAATTTACAATACTTTTGCAAATAGTCTTTAAATTTCTTCCAGTCCTCTTCCACTAGCTCTTCTCCCAGGTCTCGGATTCTGCCAGTCATTTCTGCCAATTCCATATAGTCTATCAGTTGCATAATTGTATTAATGTCTTACAACAGATATCCCACTGAAATTTAAGCTGACTGTACTTATGTAAAATATTCGCATGTCATTAAGTTAAACAGAGCTCAATACACTCAAAACAAAGCTAGACAATGAGTTCACACTCATTGAGAATATTGAGGACACCCTTCTTTTTCTTATTACTAACTTCCCCCATTCCTTAATCTCAATCTACTGCCCATCTTTCCCTCCATTACTTCAGCATTGGCATAGCCAGGATTTTTTGGGGGGGGGGAGAACCTCAGTTAGCTATGCATTTTTACTGATTTTTATTCATGTACTTCAGCATAATTCATAATTTCTCTCTTCTTCTTTTTACCTTGCTTGTCCTTTCATCAAGGAGTTCAAGGATGCTTATATGGTTACTTAGTCTTCCTTTTGGTTGCTACTATTGCATATGAAAATGTGCGTGTTAACTGCATTTACCTAATTAACATCACATCTAATCTTGCTCTCACATTGCGCTCATTCATTCTTTGAAAAAGCATTTTTAAAAACGTAATTTACTCGTGTGGATTTAGAAAACTAGCTTCAGCTTACTGACTGCATAAACACTACCAACCCCATCTGAGATGAATGTGATGAGCATTATTACTGCAGCACAGTAACTGAACATGAACACTGGAAATCAGGGGTGCAGCACAGCTTACAGGGTAGCAAACCCTGACACAAAGCACGCGTTGGCCTTCCAGTTATCTAAGCCACTAAAGGACTGAGGTTCAGCAGGGATAAGATAGCTAGGGAAAGCAGCTGTTGGTTACAGTGAGACCTACCTGAATGATATTTCACTGTGTGGAATAACACTTATTTCTTATACTATGAAAAATAATACAATGAGATACATACATTCATGCATTAAAAATACATTTCATTTTGGGGGGGTCAGCATTATCATCTGTAATGTTGGCAACAAGAGACTGGAGAAGTGACTTCTCAGGCTGCATTCACAAACAAAGAAAAAAAGATGTGCTCTTGAACTATATGCACCTTACAGTTTTGTATGATTTTGTTTACAACATTTCATATTTAATTTTCGTATTTGAAAAAAGAACTTGCTCTTCACACAGCTTCAAATGTTTTGTAATGAGAATGTAAGAACCTACCATTCCAATAATAATAATAATAATAATAATAATAATAATAATAATAATAATAATAATAATTTATTATTTATACCCCACCCCAGCCACTCTGGGCGGCTTCCAACAGAATATTAAAATACAATAGTCTATTAAACATTAAAAGCTTCCCTAAACAGGGCTGCCTTCAGATGTCTTCTGAAAGTCTGGTAGTTGTTATTCTCTTTGACATCTGGTGGGAGGGCGTTCCACAGGGCGGGTGCCACTACTGAGAAGGCCCTCTGCCTGGTTCCCTGTAACTTGGCTTCTTGCAGCGAG